GACCCGACTTCCTCACCTCAGAGCCCCCAGAAGAGGCAAGTTACTACAACTTCCTCCCATTTTTGCAAAGAACACAGGAGAAAAGAACGACAGTGACGTGCCTAATTGATAACCTTTCTTCTAAGCGCTCCAGGCTTGAGACACTGAAATTGCCACTGGGTCACCCTTTCGGCAGGTATTATATCACAGGCTTACAGCTTTTCACAACCTTCATCTCTAAGACAGGCACTTTAATTTTAAACTTAAGAAAACATGCTAACTTCACAAGAATCACAGTACCTGGGCAGCTAGGGCAAGGAGAGATCAAGACAATCCTGACTACATAGCACAAGACCCACAAGATATATAGAACAACCCTATCTATCCTTCAGACTACTATTCCCTTATGAGCTTGAAACACCGTGAAGGTCCAGTCACCTAGCAATAAACCCTAAATATAAAAAACCAAACTGAAAAAAAAAAAACGCACCCAGCATCCTAAAATACAGGCTCAATTCCCAACGTTTTATATAAATACCAGTTAGACACAAATACAAAAATGAAAAATCCCCAAAAGGAATACTATTACAATTAAACGACCCAAACACAAAACATTCAGAATGTTTTATGAAGAGAAACTAAGTGCACACTGAGAGCTAAGACACGAGCACGGCCCGCCATTAAGCTGTTCTTTGCGATTTGGTAGGCTAACCCAGAGCTCTAAAAAATTAACTCATCTAGCCTCCTTGTGGCACAAACAGGTATTATTAAAGCGTTCAACTTCTAATCTGAAATCTGTCAATTAGGAGACAGACCCTTCCTGGTAGTCACATGGGAAAGTCTAGCTCCGAATCAAGGCAGTGCCAACACCACAACTCCAGGGCTTTTCATTCCTAACATTAGCCAGATTGTTTCACGATAAAATGAGATCCCTAGAAGGCTTTGACAATTTTTTTATTTTGCTTAATAAAACAAGAAACCTCATATATCTGCAGCTTCCCCATTCTCCTGTAACTAACTCCAAAATATGAATCTGTTTTAACTGTGTTGAAAATTCCAAGTGAGGTGGCTAACCCAACACTTCTACATTTCCGTAAGTTCACAGGCGAGACTTGGCTGCATCTGAGTTCCGGGCCAATTTACACCAAATATTCCCAACTAGCCCAATTTGTTCAGCGTCATACCGTTCAAAACCACAATATTGCCTAAAAACTCAACAAGCCCGCACGGGACCACCCATTCTTAAGACGGGCTCCATACACACCTTCAAAAAGACGCCGTGGGTCCTTTTCGTCCAGCGTTAGCAGCTCTCGGGCGGCCTTGCGGATCTTGGCCAGAGTAAATTTGACTCTCCACACCTCACGCTTGTTCCGGAGCCCATATTCTCCTACACGTGGTCGGGAGGGAACCACAGGGCCAGAGTTACTACACTGGCGACTTTTTTTTTTAATATCTATTTATTTATTATGTATACAGTATTCTGTATGTATGCCTGAAGGCCGGAAGAGGGCACCAGACCTCTTTACAGATGGTTGTGAGCCACCATGTGGTTGCTGGGAATTGAACTCAGGACCTTTGGAAGAGCAGGCAATGCTCTTAACCACTGAGCCATCTCTCCAGCCCCAACACTGGCGACTTTTGAACACAAGACGAATCTAAACCAAACCACAATCCTCTGCGGCGATGGCGCCCATGACGAGCACGTGGGAGACCGACCTCATGACGGCCTAACTCTCCCTTCACCCCCAACCCGAAATTCCACCTTGGTCACTCACCGATGAGTTTCAGTTCCTGGTCGAGACGCGACTTCTCGAAGGGTCTCCGTGGGGTCACATAGGTCTTACGACAAACCCAACTTCTGGCAACCGGCATGTTGGCGTCTCTAGGGCTGCCGCGCCTGCGCAAAGGGTCATGTTTGAAACAAAAATGTCGTGAGGCATGCGCAGCAATGCCCGGCTAGCACACCACAGCCCCGCACCAACTCGGGCCTAGCTAGATCCGCCTTAGAAAATTTGGAACTGAGATCGTCCCACCACCGTACTGTAATATGTCCGACCACCTTCTTCCCGCCCCTCTTCCCTAGTGTACACGTAAACTTATGAATGGCTCCGTTACCCCCAAAAAGCCAACTAGACAGCACTCCCAAAACTCACCTAGGAGCTCACGACGGGCGAAAAAGAGACACGCTGCCGCAGAACCGCGGTCTTATAGTAACGTCGCCTTGTCGTGACGTCACTACGCACCGCTCGCTGCTTCGCCTATCAGAAGCGGGAAAACCATAGAGTAGAACGGTTGGGCCAGAGCGGCCCTGAGCTGGGCGGACTTACCAGTGAGGTGTTTAGGCGGCTGAATAGCTGAAGCGGGTACATTCTTGTTTAATCCAATCATTAACGCTTCAGCTAATCATTAACGAAGCTGCCACTTTTTAATTTTTTTTATTATAATTTTTTTTTGTTTTTTTTCGAGACAGGGTTTCTCAGTAGCTTTGGAGCCTGTCCTGGAACTCGCTCTCGTAGACCAGGCTGGCCTCGAACTCAGAGATGTGCCTACCTCTGCCTCCCTTAGGCTGGGATTAAAGGCGTGCGCCACCACCGCCCGGCGAGGCTGCCACTTCTAGGGCAAAGGCATAGAGTAACGCTCTGAAGTTGTCACTTTTTGTTTTAGCAAAGACTCTTGGGAAATTCAGGGCCGCCTTGGTTCCCCATCAATGTCTCAGTCTCATAACAATGTCCAGCCCTGGCTTTACAAATGCTAGAATTTTAGGGCCATATATTGAAGTATGCATGCTGTGCTGGTTTGGTTTTGTGAGCTTGACACAAACCTAGATATATCCGGAGTGAGGAACTCTTCGAGAAGAAAATACCCCCATCACCGTGGCATATGTCTCTATTGTTTTTGAGACAGGGTTTCCCACCAAATGACGGAATTCAAGATCCTCCTCTGCCTATATTTCTCAAGTGCTGAGTTTACAACCCATTTTCCTGCACATAATTTATTCGTTTAGTTGGTACCCCTGCCCACTAGTCTTTCTACTTAGTCCTGGCTGTCCTGGAGCTGACAACGTAGACAGGCCTGGAACTCAGGAGGGATCCACCTGCCTCTGCCTCCCAAGTGCTGGTATTAAAGACGTGCACCACCACACCTTTATTTATTTTTGAGGGGGTCTATGCAGCTAGCCCTGGCTATCCCGGAACTATGTAGACAGGCTAGCCTCACACGCATAGGGACGATGTCCCTGCCTCTGTCCCTGAGTAGCTACGAGGACAGGCCTGTAACACTAGGTCTAGATTGGGTATTCTTTACTTTTACTTCAATTTGCATTTATATATTCAGATGGCAAGGATCTTGCTCATTTAGTCTGGGAAGAGAGGGGAGGGAACGGGTAGCAACAGGTAGTAGACAGTTTACTATGTGTCATATATTTGATTTTTTTTTTTTTTTTTTGGTTTTTCGAGACAGGGTTTCTCTGTGGCTTTGGAGCCTGTCCTGGAACTAGCTCTGTAGACCAGGCTGGTCTCGAACTCACAGATATCCGCCTGCCTCTGCCTCCCGAGTGCTGGGATTAAAGGCGTGCGCCACCACCGCCCGGCCATATATTTGATTTTTATTCTTATTTTACATGCATTGGTATTTTGCCTGTATGTTTGTATGAGGGTGACAAATCCCCTGGAGCTGGAGTTACAGCTGTGAGCTGCCATCTGGGTGCTGGGAATTGAACTTGGGTCCTCTGGAAGAGCAGCAGGACTCTTAACTGCTGAGTCATCTTTCCAGTCTCAATTCTTAACTTTTAAAAATGATTTAATGTGTACAGGTGTCTTATCTGCATATATGCACCTGTCCCATGTGTACACCTAGTGCCTTCAAAGGCCAGAAGGGGTTAGATGCCCAGAGACTGGAGTTATGGATAATTGTGAGCCCTGTGTATGCTGTGAACCATACCCAGGTTCTCTGCAAGAATATCAAGTATTCCTAACCTAACCATCTCTCCAGCCCTTATGTACCTGAGACAGGCCTTCTTGGCCTGATCTTGCTATGTAGACTAGGCTAGCTTTTAACTCAAAGATCCTCCTGCTTCTCCTGAGTACTGGTATTAAATGTACATAGCACCACACCCAGCTTTGTTTTTTTTTTTGCTTGTTTTTGTTTTTTGGAATTTTTTTGAGACAGGGTTTCTCTGTAGGGTTTTTTTTTTTTTTTTTTGGTTCCAGTCCTGGAACTAGCTCTTGTAGACCAGGCTGGCCTTGAACTCAGAGATCTGCCTGTCTCTGCCTCCCTAGTGCTGGGATTAAAGGCGTGCGCCACCACGGCCCGGCGCCCAGCTCTTTTTAATTGTGTATATATGTGTGGGTATATGCACCTGAGTACAGTTGCCTTTGGAGGACAGAATAGGGTAGCAAATTCCCTGAAAATGATGCTACAGGCACTTGTGAGCTGTCCTATATGGGTGTTTGAAACTGAACTTAGGTCCTTTGGAAAAGGTTAACTACTGAGCCATCTCTATAGCCTCAAACCTGTAGCCCAAGTAGACCTCAAACTCATGATCCTTCTGCCTTTGCCTCTTCAGCATGTCTTACTAAACTGGTATACACCACCACAAGCAGCTCATGCAGCATTTTTAGTTATGACCTTTATATGCATCTGAAATGATTTGTAGAAATCTCAAGACGACCAGTGAAATGGCTCAGCAGTTAAAGTTGTTTGATGGCAAGCCTAACAATCTGAGTTTAATCCCTGAGACCCAAATGGTGAAAAAGAGAACAGGCTCTCATAAATTGTCCTGATCTCCGCATATGTTCCATGGCACTTTGTACCCACACGCATACACATGTATGCAGATAATATATAAGCATAATAAAAAAATCTTCAAGGCACAATTTCATGGGATGCAGAGAGGCAGAATCAGAAAGACCAAGTATAATGTCCCAGGCCTGGTAGTTATTAGTTTTGTGACCTGGGCAAGTCATTTCCCCTTTCCTTTCTCATCTGAATACAGGATTAAAAGCTCCACATTCCAGAGATTGTTGTAAGGACTCAAAATACGAACATTTATTCAACAAATTTATTGAGAACTGCCCTTTAGAAAACAGAAGAGCCAAATAAGAGCAGTCTCAACTCTGAACAAGCTCACAGTTTGGAGACAGAAAAATAAAACAACATAGCTAGTAAGCGCCTTAAAACAGGAAAAAAAAACTATAAAGTATTTAGTGTTCAAAACTCTGGAATCAGGCAAGGCGGGAGAACACAAGCCTCCATGCAAGATGAGGGGTGAGAAGGAGGAGGAGTTGACCATCTAGGAGGGTTCTTGGACACATAGCCACACCCCCCTCAATCTGCAGCTTACTGCAGGCTAGCCCACTGTAGGGAGGTGTAGACCACCTTCCCATCAGGCTGAGGGGAGCAGAGAAGCAGGGTCTTTCTGACACTGGTTCCCAGGCGGCCGGCAGAGACCAGGTCCTGAAGTGGGATGGGGTCCTCAGCAGCCCAGCACTGAGCAATGTAGTGAGCGTGGAATCGCAGCGGGTCACCTGGGAGAAAGAGACAGATGCATAGCAGTTCCCATCTGGAGGGGCTGGAGCACTGGCAACAGATCCTTCTACTTACTGCATTTTAGGTTCCTTTGTAGTACTGTGTACGGAAGTCAGGGCCTTGTGTAGATTAAGTATTCTAACATGTTCTTTTGATTTATTTATTTAAAGTATATGAGTGTTTGCTTGCCTGCATGCGTGTATGTGTACCATGCGTGTGCCTGGTACCTGCCTAGACCAGAAGAGGACATTAGGTCCCACAGAACTGGGGTTAGAAGTGGTTTTGAGCCACCATGCAAGTGCTGGGGACAAGATCTGGGTTCTCTGCAAGAACACCATTGAGCCATCTCTCCAGCCCTCTTTTTCCATTGTTTTCTGAGATAGCTGTTTCATGTGACCCAGGTTGGCTTTAATGGCCCAAGATGGTTCACAACTGCCAAGACACAGAAGAGAAAGCAAAGAATGGTTACTTCCGTGGTACAAGGTACACCTGTAAGACTAAGCAATACGCAACTATCATGATTAAAAGATATGGTGAGACAGCTTGTAACCTCAAGCACACAGAAGGCTTAGGCCAGGAGACTCTTTGAGCTTAGGAGTTCAAGGCCAACCTGGGTACCATACAGACATTTTTACCAAAATAAAAGATGAAAAAGAAACAAAAGAAAGCAAGTCAAGATTGAAAGATAAGTCATAAGTGCTGGGATGTAGCTGCAGACCACTTATGGAGCACAGGCAAGATTTGATCTCTAGTGCAACCATAAAACATTAACAGGACCAGGCCGGGACTCTAATAGACTAAAGAAGAAAAGATTTTATAATAGAATAAAGCAAAAATCAAAGTCCTATGCCAATCCCAGCACTCGGGAGGCAGAGACAAATGGAGGTCTTTGAGTTCCAGGTCAGGCTGGTCTACAGAGCGAGTTCCAGGATAGCCAAGGCTACTGTGAAACCCTGTATCAGAAGAAAAAAAAGAAAAAGAAAAAAAGAAACAAGTAGATTATCAATAGGATTTCCCCACAAAGAAGTGCCAGACGGTAAACACGGGTTAGTTTTGTAGGCTCCGCCAGTGCAGCACTGCAGCCACATGCTCTGGAAGCAGAGGCCCTCGGAGGGCTTGGTAACTGAACAGCTGACAGTCTGTCCCTGGAACAGGTGAATCTAAGTTAGCAGGACAGGAACCTGAATAAGACTATACAAGAGGGTGAATCACAGGCAATGAAAATTAAAAACGGAGAGCTGGAGAGATGGCTCAGCAACTAATCTACCACTCTTCCAGAGGACCAGAGTTCAGTTCCTCGCACTCACATCGACCTCCCAGCTGCCTGTAATTCCAGCTCCAGGAGAATCTGATACCATCTTCCGATCTCCCTGTGCACCCACGCACATAACACCAAAAAACAAAACCAACAATCTTTAAGAGGGGGGAGGAGGTGAGAATCTAAACCATGAGACTGTGAAGCATTCTAAGGAGACTGTTGCTATGTCCCTGCCTGGCAGATGGGTTCCTGGCAAGAGTTTAGCCAAACGTGCGAGTCTCTGGCTGTTAAAAGACTCCAATCGGCTGAGAGGGTACATCAAAATGCTTGAGAAACTAATCCTGCTAACTGTTTTCCTGGTCATTTAGCAATTCTGAGCCTCAGGCAAAATTTAAAAATAAATTTAGAAGCATTACAGTGATTGAGGCTTTGGACACTATTTCATAGGCAACAAGGATTCTCTCCGTGTCCGGTACACTGAGTACTCACTGTTTTAGAAATATTGACATATTAGAACTAATTGGTCAGTGCCAGACCTGAATGCTTATGCATTTAAATCATCTCAGCACTTCCACATTTGAGGACAGTCAGGGATCACCCTGTTATAGGAAAGAAAAGAAGAGGACAAATAGTTTAGTTTATGGTTCAATTTAATGCATAGAATTAGAGCTGGATGTGGTGGCACACATTTGTCATCCTAGCTCCCAGGAGGCCAACAGCAAGAAGATTGCTTCCAACTCAAAAAACAAAAAATGAAAAAGCACCATGAAATTAACTGATTTAAACTAGCAATTTTAGGCCGCAGTAGTTTTATCTACAAATAGGAGTCTCACTATGTTTCATATGTTGCATAGGTTGGTTTTTTAATCTCAGGTCAAAGAAATTATGCTTCAGTTTCCCAAGTAGGAATACAGGCATACTGAGACCTAGCTAGAATGTCAATGACCACAGCAACTTAAATGCCATGCAGGCATCTGCATATCCATATCAACACACAATCTACCACACACTTACCATTTTGTTTCACTTTTGATTATAGTTTTCACATGCATGATCCTATACTTTTTCTGTTTTCAGACAGGGTCTGGATACCCAGCCCTGGTTGGCCTGACCTCACTATATAGCCTATACAAGTCTTAAACTTGTGGCAATCCTCCTGTCTCGAATTCTAAAGAGCTAAGATTATAGGCATAGTCATCACACCCCATTTTTCTTTTCTTTCTTGAGATGGGTTATCATGCAGCCAAAGCTAGTCTCAAACTAGCTATGCCTTCAGTTATCACTAGAGACATGCACCACCATACCCAACTACAATCCTACACATTAATTATTTGAAAATTAACACTATGGACGGGTGGTGGTGGCACACGCCTTTAATCCCAGCACTTGGGAGGCAGAGGCAGGCAGATCTCTGTGAGTTCGAGACCAGCCTGGTCTACAGAGCTAGTTCCAGGACAGGCTCCAAAGCCACAGAGAAACCCTTTCTCAAAAAAACCAAAAAAAAAAAAAAAATTAACACTATGTTCTTGGACAACTGGGTTGCTTTTTTGTTGTTGCTTTTCAAGACAGGGTTTCTGAGTAGCTATGGAGCCAATCCTGGAACTCACCCTGTACACCAGGCTGACCTTGAACTCACAAAGATCCACTTGTCTCTGTTTCCCTGGTGCGGGGAATAAAGATTTGCGCCATCACAACCTGGTGCTGTTGCCTGGAACTCAGGGATGCACCTGCCTCTGCCTCCCCAGGGCTGGGACCACCTCTCTCAGATTAATTTTTATGTTTTGCCCTTACTAATAGTGACTTTGCTGCTTTTAATCTTTCAATTCCATAAAGAATTCTGCAGGGCATGCGCTCATATATTTTGCGCACATTTGTAAGGATTTCTAAGCCAATCTTCTAGATCATATTTATCAAGAGTTACTAAATCAAGCCAGCTGCTGTGACACAAGCCTGTAATCCCAGCACTTGGGAAGCAGGGAAAGGAAGACTTTGCATTCCAAGGCTAGCTTGTGCAGCATAGCAAATTCCAAGCTAGTCTTGGAGACCTAATGTGACACTGACTCAAGCCAAACAAGTTATTAAACTACTCTCCAGGAGCTCAGGAAAACTCTCTCATTATCCACTGTCCTTCCCTGAGTCTCCAGGGCATTGAGTCCCCAGGGGGTAGACAAAAGAGAAAGTACATAATAAATAAAGACCAGCAGTAAAGGTATAGCCACCAGAGCCCAAACCTGAACTCACCAGGATAGACCAGGAAGTCACCACCGAACTTCCCAGCTGCGCTGAGGAAGAAGCCTCTCTCCCACAGGTCTCGGTAGATGCTGTAGCGCAGCTCGTGGGCAGGGCGGCCAGCATGGGGCCAGTCTTTGGACTGCACACGCCAGTCCAGAGGCTTAGCCTTTACCGGCCGAGGCCTGGCCGTGGCCAGCTGGATGAGCAGGGCTGACCTGGGCAAGGGGGTCACCCCGTTTGAAGGCCCTGGTTGGGGAGATGAAGAGTCTGGGGGAGATGACGAGTCTGGGGGAAGGTATAGAGAAGAATTACTGAATCCACAAGGCAAGGTGTCCTTATCCCCCCAAAAACCTCAATTAAAATTCCCTAAAGCTTCCTTCCCTCCTGCCCCAAATCTGAACTCCAAACACTACTCTCACCTGCTCCCTCCTGCTCCGCAGAAGCCTGGCCATCATCACTGGTTTCACTCCCTTGGGTAGCTTCGCTCCCACTGGCTTCTTGGCCTTCATCTGCCCCTGAATCCTGCTCCAGCTTCTGCTTCTTGGCCGCCTGGCCATCATCAATGATTTCACTCCCTTGGGTAGCTTCGCTCCCACTGGCTTCTTGGCCTTCATCCGCCCCTGAATCCTGCTCCAGCTTCTGCTTCTTGGCCGCCGGGCCATCATCAATGATTTCACTCCCTTGGGTAGCTTCGCTCCCACTGGCTTCTTGGCCTTCATCCGCCCCTGAATCCTGCTCCAGCTTCTGCTTCTTGGCAGCCTGGCCCTCTACGATCTTCTCTAGGAGCTCCTGACGACGGGTCTCACGGGCCTCGGCTGCCAAAGTGCTTTGCTCCTGGAAACTCTGCTCTTGCTGGCGTTTGAACGATGCTAGGGCCTGAGAAATAAACTTAACTGGAACCCCAAGACATAGCCTGCGGCCCCTTAGGAAGACAGGAATCCTGACCCTGTTTACAACCTCCCAACAGCGTCCTTCCAAAGCAGGCCATCCCAGGCTTTCCCACCACAAGGGCCTTTTCGCTTCTTACCAAGCCATGATTGCGGGGATCCGGGCGCGGGGCGCTGACGAGCGTCACGGCGCCTATTTCAGCTAGAAGCCGGGCTTCCTCTGGCAACAGCAGAAGCGGGAGGCCCAGGCGCGAGTTCTGGCGGGGCCCGCGGGGCAGGGCGCCCACCGTGCGGCCCCCGACTCCCAGGCGCTCCCGCAGCGCCTGCACGGCCTCAGCTCCCCACACCAGCGAGCGGCCATTAGCAACCTCCACCACCAGCATCCTCCTGCAAAGTGGGGGTGTTGGTCACCCAAACAGCCCCGCAGACCGGACTGAAGCCTTCTACGCCCCCGTGCAAGCAAGGTCCGCCCCTGAGCCCGAGGGGGCGGGACCGGGGTTGCCACCTGCTCCCCAGGCCAAGCCCCACCCGAAAGGACCGCTCGAGACCACGCCCCTCGCCCAGGTCCCACTGTTCTGCTCCCCCTCAGTTCCTGGTGACCATCATCTCGGCCAATGCGTGCCACCGCATCACGCCTCCTACCGCCATAGCGGTGCACCGTCCTTTTCGCAAAGTGGGTGTCTTCTTTCGGGTGTGTCCATCAAGTCCCGAACCTCAACGTAGATTGGCGGTTTGCTCAAGCCACACCCTCTTTTAGAAACTTGGAACCCAGACCCTCCCATGTCGAATTTCCGAGGTTCGTCTTTCCTGCCTATTCACTTAGGCGGACTTTAAAGAACCCAATCCTGTCTTGCGCAAACGGTTCGATGTTCCAGCATTCTCGGTTCGGCTCAATCCGGAGCCCTGCCCACCCTAAACACAAGAGTGTCAACCTTCCGGTGATCTCGGCTCTACTACCGAACGCATTCGGGAGTGCTCGGCTCTGTCGAATCAGCCACCCCTTCCAAGTCGCACCTCCAGCTGTGACCCCGCCCACTCCCTATCCAGTTTCGAAAGCTGTCGCCCACGATTGAACTCTGGATGCAGTGCACGTCTTAACTTCTCTTCACTCGGTCGCACTGTCTTCGGTCAGAGCCCATAAGTCAACTGCTAGCCAACACTCAGTAGAGGCGGAGCCGGCACTACGTAGCACGTCCTCCGTCATCCCGTCACGTTAGCCGAGCTGAAAACCTGAGGCGAGCTCTCACGGCCGCAGGGTCTCCACATGTGGGCCCTTGAGGGTCACCGCCCTTGGCCCTACCCCCGTGCCTACCGAGTCTTGTAGGCCCCGCCCCGTTATAAATGGTCTCGCGTAGTGCCTTTTCCGGTCTTCTATGGCTCCGCCTTCCTCCTCCCCCAAATAAGGCTAGCTATTTCGAGAAGCTCTTGGCTCCGCTTGTTATTCCACTAAGTCCACTTACCCCTGATTATTTCCAAAGTTCAGACAAAACCTCTGGCCTCACTGGCATTTGACAGTGACCTAAAACGTATTCAACTATCCGAAATTAGTCCAGGCTTTTGGCCCCGCCTACATCCTGCTATCCTTTGACACACACCACCCGTCTGATTCCGACTATTTCCGAAGTAAGCCGAAGTGTGTGGCCCCGCCCACATCGGGCTGCGTTTGTGAGCCCGCCTAACACTAAACAGCGACTTTTGGAACCGATTATCTCCGAATCACGCCGAAGCGTGTGGGCCCGCCTACATCCGGCCGAGTTTGTGAACGCTTCTAATTCCGAACTCGCCTATCTCCGAAGTAAGCCGAAGTTTGTGGCCCCACCTCCACGCCTTGAGTTTGAATTACCGAGTGTACCCGAAGGAATCCGAAGCTGAGGGTCCTCCTCTTTCCGAACGCCGAGCTCCAGGTCCCGCCTCCTTCTTAAGTCACAACCCGTTTTCATAGGGACTCGAAGCCTTGGCCCCGCCTCTGACCCGAAACCCCGCCCCCCCCTTTACTGGCAGCTCTTTGCCCTGGGGCCTCCCAGAAAGAACGGGGCAGGCATCCTTCCGCGCATTGGTGTTCTGGAATCTTTTCCCACCGTGCTGTATACGTATTGCATCCGCTTTCTGGGCCTGGACCGCGCAGCCCAGCGGGCACCCTCGAGAACCGGCAGTGCGGGGGCGTGCTGAGCTGAGGAGGCGTGGCCCTAGCAGGGGCGGTCGCGAAAGAGGGATTTTCTCATCAGCCTCCTGGTCCACGGACGGTTCAGGTGGGCCCAGGTGGGGTTGTATGGAGGCGTCGCTGAAAATCGTAAGGTGGCTGGGTGCGGGGACGGGGACCAGAGCGTGGCCCGGCTGGGTGGCGTAACCGCCTGTGGATCTGCTAGGGCGGAATCGGATCCACGCGGGGCTGGGCTACGGAGGGAGCCTGCAGATCAGACAGGGTCATTGCCTTCTCTCCGGGGTATGGATTGGAGAGGAGGCCGGAGCTCTGAAGACAAGTGGATGCTAAATGCTGGATTTCGCCGGGGTGGGTAGGAGTAGGAGTCCTGGGGTTTTGGGTCCCCTGAGATAATAGGGGAGCCTGGGGATCTTAAGGATTCCTGTGTACTCAGAGGAAGGTGGGGGTGATGTGGGTTCCTCGACTATCAGAGAGGAAGGGTCTTGCAAAGGATTGTTTTCCGGGCCAGAAGGTGTTTAGATGTCTAGGTCTTAAATAGGGGCAGAAATGCTTTTGATTTGTACGTTGGCAGAGGATTGGGGTGAGGGGCTTGATTCCTGGGTCCTGGAAGGAGGAGTGAACTGGACGCCTGGCTTCTCAAAAGTAGGGGATTCTACTCTCAAAAGAGGAAGGGACTGGAATACTAGTTCTCACTGTGAGCCCTTCCTCCCCCAGACCATGACACCCGAAGAATGGACCTATCTAGTGGTCCTGCTTATCTCCATCCCTATCGGCTTCCTCTTTAAGAAAGCTGGTGAGTCAGGTTCCATGCCCAGTGGAAAATTGGGGTGAGGGAGCTGAGGTGGGGATCACCCCTCCCGAAAGTTCTATGCTTACACTTTACCTTTTCCTTTCAGGACCTGGGCTGAAGAAATGGGGGGCAGCAGCTGTGGGCCTGGGGCTCACTTTATTCACCTGTGGCCCCCACACTTTGCATTCTCTGATCACCATCTTGGGAACCTGGGCCCTCATTCAGGCCCAGCCTTGGTGAGAGCTAGGTGGTGAGAAAGAAAGGAGGATGCATAGAAACAGCAACCTGTTTCCTCGTGTTGTCTTCCATTTCTTCTTTCAGTCTCTTGCTGCCTGCTGTTTCTCTCATGTTTCTCTGTCTTGGCCATGTTTCTTCCTCTCTCACCTTGTTCTGCACCTTCCTGTCCCTGCAGATTTGCCCCAGTCCTCAATGTCCACGTGATGACAGTCATTTGTAACCCAGTCCTGCGCTCTCCGGCTGTCTTCTTCACCACAACGCTTCTCTCTTGACTCCCTCATTCTTTTTTTCTCTGTGGCTGTGCCTCTTCTGTCCCTGCCTGCCATCCACTGGTCCTCACTCTCTCCCCTCTTTTTTTCTGGCTGAATGAGGGAATGGTGGGGCATAAAGGCACACTCGGGAGAAGGAAGCAGGGCCAAGGTCCCTGTACCCAGCTCTATAACTTCCCACCTCTGTCCTAGCTCCTGTCATGCCCTGGCTCTTGCCTGGACCTTCTCCTATCTCCTCTTCTTCCGAGCCCTCAGCCTGCTGGGCCTGCCCACTCCCACACCCTTCACCAATGCCATCCAGCTGCTGTTGACACTGAAGGTGAGCTTGGGGAAACACTACCCATTTTTTCTCCCTGGTAGCCAGGCAGCAGCTTTCTTGTTCTCTTTTCCCAGACTAGACTTTCTCATAGTCAGGGGAGGGCTATGGATTTTTTTTTTTTTTTCTGGTTTTTCGAGACAGGGTTTCGCTGTAGTTTTTTTATTTAGAGCCTGTTCTGGAACTAGCTCTTGTAGACGAGGCTGGCCTCAAACTCACAGAGATTCACCTGCCTCTGCCTCCCAAGTGCTGGAATTAAAGGCGTGCGCCACCACTGCCCAGCTGGAATTTTTTTTTTTTTTTAAATCTTTCACAAATCCTAAGCTTGAAACTTCATATCTCCCTGGGGACAGAGTTGACCTCTCACATACTCTGGAGGAGGTCTTCACCTCTCCACTCATTCCGTGGTCAGGAGATATCACAAGCCACTTGGCTCACCTGGAATGTGCCTGCCCAGCATGCTTTGCCAACATGCTCTTCTTGAATCTATTGCAGACCATCCTCCAAGGAGGAAGTAGCACTGTGGAGAGAAGGTAGCTAGCCCAGGGCACAGCTGGGACTACAGACCTCATTTTGTTATTTTCTTCCTGAGAGTCTCTGTAGCACCCTGTGTTGTCCTCAAAGAGAAGATGACTTTGGACTTTTTTTTCTTGGTTTTATGAGACAGGGTTTCACTGTGTAATCCTTCCTGTCCTGGGAACTCACTATGTAGACCAGACTGGCCTCAAACTCACAGAGATTCACCTGCCTCTGCCTCCCTGGGTGCTGAGATTAAAGGCATGCACTGCCACCACCCCATGACTTTGAATTTTTGTTCCTCCTGCCTCCACCTCTTAAGTGCCAGGATTGTAGGTATACACCACTGTGCCTGGCTTATATGGTACTAGGGAATCAAACCAAGGGCCTCGAGCGCACTAGGCAAGCCCATGACCAACTGAACTACATTCTTAGCCCTGGGTTGTATCCTTAATCTCCTCGGAAGAGTGCAAAAAGAGGCCAGCCCTCAGTCCCTAGCACAGACAGCGTTGGTGAGCTCTTGTTATGTTCTGGGCTCCAGCAACATAGGCCTGGACAGTCCTGCCAGTCTGAGAACTGGTTTCTCCAGAATCCTTTGTTCTTATGGAAAACTCAACAGTAGGCAGGGATTGATCAGCTGTGAGTTGGAAGGAGACCCTTTCGGGGTGTGTATGGACCTGCACATGTAGGTGGACGGGCTGGGGTGCCACAGACTATGTTTGTCGCGTCCACTTTCTGAATAACATGCTGTTGAATGGATTTCCTTCTATAGGGGGCTGAGATCCCTTGAGAAGAAAGTTTTTCGTTTTACTAATTTGTTTTTGGTTTGCTGGCCAGAAGACAGGATACGGCAAATTTGCCTCTTCAAATTATTAAATTTGTGGGTGCTGAAAGAACTAAAATATAATGCAATGAGATGAGATAGATAAACTTCTTTATCAGAGTTGAGCAAATGGTTCATTGATGTAATCTCAGCATTTTTTTTTAAAAGCCTCTAAACTGGGCATGGCATGCCTTTAATCCCAGGACTCTGGAAGCAGAGACAGGTGGACCTCTGTGAGTCAGCTTGGTGTACATAGAGAATTCCAGGATAGTCAAGGTTATTTAGAGAGACCCTGTCTCCAAAAATAAAAACACCCAAAAGGCAGTCAGGAGAGAGGGCTCCGTGGTTCAGAGTACTGTTCTTCCAGAGGACCTAAGTTCAGATCCTGGCACCCAGACAGATGGGCTCTCAAACATCAGTAACACCAGTTGCAGGAGATAACGACGCATCTGCACACACAGACACACAAAAATAAAAATACATATTACAGACAAAAAAGCTAGTGCGGGGCTACCCACCCATAATCCCAGCACTCAGGTGAAGCCGGAGGAGGAGTTCAAGATCATCCTTAGCTGCGTAGTGAGTTTGAGAACAGTTCTGTTATGTAAGACTCTGTCTGGGGGAAAAACAAGTCTAGATGACTATGGAAGTGGCCTGAGAGACTGGGCTGTAGGCAGGTGAGTCAGAGTCACCTTGGGAGATGCTGCTTTGAGGATAATTTTAGGGTTTTGAATTTTTGTTTTGTTTTGTTTTTTTTTGCAGTGGCTTGGTGAAGAGGAGACAGAGTTGTCAAAAATGAAAAAAAAAAAAAAACTTTGGGCCTGTAGCTAGGTCAGAGAAAGAATTATATGTTGTGGGCCTAGTGGTTTTTTTGTTGTTGTTGTTGTTGTTTTGTTT